GCTGCAGCAAGGTGGTTGTTGTTGCGGCTTCGATTGTTGCAGTTTCTTCCGTCGCCGCTGTTGTTGTTGTTGCTGCTGCTGTTGTTGTTGGTGTTGGTGTTGGTGTTGGTGTTGGTGTTGGTGTTGGTGTTGGTGTTGTTGCTGTTGCTGTTGCTGTTGCTGTTGCTGTTGCTGTTGCTGTCGCTGTCGCTGTCGCTGTCGCTGTCGCTGTTGCTGTTGCTGTTGCTGTTGCTGTTGCTGTTGCTGTTGCTGTTGCTGTTGCTGTTGCTGTTGCTGTTGCTGTCGCTGTCGCTGTCGCTGTCGCTGTTGCTGTTGCTGTTGCTGTTGCTGTTGCTGTTGCTGTTGCTGTTGCTGTTGCTGTTGCTGTTGCTGTTGCTGTTGCTGTTGTGTTGTTGTTGTTGTTGTTGTTGTTGTTGTTGTTGTTGTTGTTGTTGTTGTTGTTGTTGTCGTTGTCGTTGTTTGTTGTTGTTGTTGTTGTTTTTGGTGTCGTTGTCGTTGTCGTTGTCGTTGTCGTTTTTGTTGTTGTTGTTTTTGGTGCCGTTGTCGTTGTCGTTGTCGTTGTTGTCGTTGTCGTTGTCGTTGCCGTTGCCGTTGTCGTTGTCGTTGTTGCTGTTGTTGTTGTTGTTGTTGTTGTTGTTGTTGTTGTTGTTATTGGTGTCGTTGTCGTTGTCGTTGCTGTTGTTCCTCCTCCTGTTATTGGCGTTGCTTCTGTCATTGGTGATGTTGATGCTGCTGTCGCTGTCGCTGCTGCTGCTGTAGTCGCTGCTTCAGCTGTAAGCGCAACCGCGACCAACGCAACACACACACACACCACCCGCAACAGGCGCAACCGAACAACAGAAGAACAACCCGCAGCAGCAGCAAAACAACAACAGCAGTAGCAGCAGCGCCAACAGAACTTTTAAACGCGCAACCAGGAATGCGGCCACAAGACCATTCACACACAACAAGACTAGCAACAACAGCAACAACAAAACAACAAGAGCAGCAGCTGAAGCAGCGCGGCAACAGAAATTGCCACAACAACAAGAACCGCAACAACGCCAACCGAAGCTTCAACAACAGCAGCCGCAACAACAGCAATGGCAACAACAACGACCGCACGATGACAACAACAGCCTCAACCACCGTGGCAACGACGTCCGCAGCAACAACAACAACAACAACAACAAAGACAACGACAAGACCAGCAGCAGCGACGGCAGCAGCAACAGCAACAGCTACACCGGCACCGCCAACAACAGCAAGAACGCGAACAGCAACAACAACAATCAACGACAACCAACAGCAACAACAACAAGAACAACAACAACAAACAGCAGCAACATCGAAATAGCACCAGCGGCAGCGGCTACGGCAGCAGCAACGGAAACCGCAACGAAAGCGACGACAGCCGGAGCAACAGCAGCAGCATCAAAAACAGTTGGCAACAGCGCACGCATTCGTCACGACAACGACGGTAGCAACAACAACACCAGCGGCAGCAGCTGCAACAAGGTGTTGTTGTTGCGGTTTCGATTGTTGCAGTTTCTTCCGTTGCCGCTGTTGTTGTTGTTGCTGCTGCTGCTGTTGTTGTTGTTGTTGTTGTTGTTGCTGCTGCTGTTGTTGTTGTTGTTGGTGTTGGTGTTGGTGTTGGTGTTGGTGTTGGTGCTGGTGCTGGCGCTGGCTGGTGCTGGTGCTGGTGCTGGTGCTGGTGCTGGTGCTGGTGCTGGTGCTGGTGCTGTTGCTGTTGCTGTTGCTGGTGCTGTTGCTGTTGCTGTTGCTGTTGCTGTTGCTGTTGCTGTTGCTGTTGCTGTATCTGTTGCTGTCGCTGTCGCTGTCGCTGTCGCTGTCGCTGTCGCTGTCGTCGCTGTCGCTGTCGTCGCTGTTGCTGTTGCTGTTGCTGTTGCTGTTGCTGTTACTGTTGCTGTTGCTGTTGCTGTTGCTGTTGCTGTTGCTGTTGCTGTTGTTGTTGTCGTTGTCGTTGTCGTTGTTGTTGTTGTCGTTCCTAGAGGTGCGTTTGATCGCTTTTTAGGTGGTCAAAGGCCGAACAGGCATTTGGACGTGAAAAAACGATTTGGGCGTGAAAATCCGACAAGGGCCACATGGCCGTGAAAAAGCGTGAAAAAGCCGTGAAAAAACGCCAAGCGGCCGTGAAAAAACACTAGACCACGGTTGGCCCGAAAGCAGAACATCGCAAGCGAGGTCGGCCCAACGCTGCAGGATGCTTTTTTCCCTACACGAAGCATTCGTGAAGCAAGCGCGAGACAGCACCAGGCAAGGTGCTCTGCGCAAACTGGTCGGTGCAAGTTGGTCTGCGCAAGTTGCTCTACGCAAGTTGCACTGTGCAAGTTGCTCTGCGCAAGTTGCTCCGCGCAAGTTGTGCAACTTACTCTGGGCAAGTTGCTCTGCGCAAGTTGCTTTAAAATGCAAGTTGCATCTTGCGACGCCCGCCCGCGGACCAGGGAGGAATCGAACCCGCGACCCGCCGGTTCCGGGAGCAGGCGCGCGAACCACGAGACAACTCCCGAGGACCAGTTCGAACAACAAAAGTCGTGAAAATCCTTGAGTTTTTGCACCTCGACCACGCCGATTCCCGCAGAGGGTTGCGCGAGCACCGCAGAAATCTCAAAAAAAACCATGGGTTTTTGCACCTCGACCACACCGATCCCCGCAGAGGGTTGCGCGAGCACCGCAGAAATCGCAAAAAACCATTGGTTTTTGCACGATCCCCGCAGAGGGTCGGGCGGGCATGTTGGAAATCACAAAAAACCATGGGTTTTTGCACTTCGACCACGCCGATCCCCGCAGAGGGTCGCGCGAGCAGGTTAAACATCGCAAAAAACCGAGTTTTTGCACCTCGACCACGCCGATTCCCGCAGAGGGTCGCGCGAGCACCGCAGAAATCACAAAAAAAACCATGGGTTTTTGCACCTCGACCACGCCGATTTCCGCAGAGGGTCGCGCGGGAACTTTAGAAATCGCAAAAAACCATGGGTTTTTGCACCTCGACCACGCCGATCCCCGCAGAGGGTCGATTTTCGTGTAGTGTCGTCGGCACTACCCCGCCGCCCTAAGAAGAGGTTTTAACTCCTCGCAAGTCAATTGCACTTGACTCCTTGCACTTGCAACTTGCACTTGACTCCTTGCTTGTTTCAAGGAGTCATTGCAAGGAGTCATTGCAAACAGGAGTCATTGCAAGGAGTCATTGCAAGGAGTCATTGCAAGGAGTCATGAGAGCCATTGCAAGTTGCAAGGAGCCAAGTGCATGGAGTCAAGCGCAAGTCGCAAGTGCACGGAGTTAAGTGCAAGTTGCAAGTGCAAGGAGCCAAGTGCAAGGAGCCAAGTGCAAGGAGCCAAGTGCATGGAGTCAAGTGCAAGTTGCAAGTGCATGGAGTCAAGTGCAAAGTGCAAGTTGCAAGTGCAAGGAGTCAAGTGCAAGTTGCAATCCTTGCCATGACTCCTTGCAATGACTCCTTGCAATGACTCCTTGCAATGACTCCTTGCAATGACTCCTTGCAATGACTCCTTGCAATGACTCCTTGCAATGACTCCTTGCAATGACTCCTTGCAATGACTCCTTGCAATGACTCCTTGCAATGACTCCTTGCAATGACTCCTTGCAATGACTCCTTGCAATGACTCCTTGCAATGACTCCTTGCAATGACTCCTTGCAATGACTCCTTGCAATGACTCCTTGCAATGACTCCTTGCAATGACTCCTTGCAATGACTCCTTGCAATGACTTTCATGATGCTGATTCCTTGCAATGACACCTTGTAATGACTCTCATGAGAACAACTCAAGTGAACCCAGCGGAAGAACCCTTCGCCATGCTTTCGGGAATAAAAACGTGAAAACACAGCACTGAAACCATTTGGCCGTGAAAACGGGCAATGTCAAGGACACATTTTTTCAAGGTCGTGAGTGGTATGACCTCCTACAATGTGATCGAACACGCCTCCAGGTTGTCGTTGTCGTTGGTGTTGTTGGTGTTGGTGTCGGTGTCGTTGTCGTTGCTGTTGTTCCTCCTCCTGTTATTGGCGTTGCTTCTGTCATTGGTGATGTTGATGCTGCTGTCGCTGTCGCTGCTGCTGCTGTAGTCGTTGCTGCAGCTGCAAGCGCAACCGCAACCAACGCAACACACACACACACCACCCGCAATAGGCGCAACCCAACAACAAAAGAACAACCCGCAGCAGCAGCAAAACAACAACAACAGCACAGTGACAGCCACGAGAACTTTTAAACGCGCAACCAGGAATGCGGCCACAAGACCATTCACACACAACAAGAATAGCAACAACAGCAACAACAAAACAACAAGAGCAGCAGCTGAAACAGCAACGGCAACAGAAATTGCCGCAACAACAAGAACCGCAACAACGCCAACCGCAACTTCAACAACAGCAGCCGCAACAACAGCAACAGCAACAACAACGACCGCACGATGACAACGACAGCCTCAACCACCGTGGCAACGACGTCCGCAGCAACAACAGCAACAACAACACCAACAAAAAAGACAACGACAAGACCAGCAGCAGCAGCAACGGCAGCAGCAACAGCAACAGCTACACCGGCGCCACCAACAACAACAACAACCGCGACAACGTTGTCGTCGTGTCGCTGACGGCAACAGCGACCGCAACCACAGCCACAACAACGACCGCATCCGCAGCAGCAGCAGCAACAACATCGACAGCCACAACCGGAGCCACAACCACAAGTGGCCGCAACGAAAACTAAAGCAGAAGCCACAACCACGGCAGCATCGACAGGAGCCACAGTCGCAACAGGGCGCTTTTTTGAATGGTCATGCTCGAAAAAGCGAAAGTTTGTAGCGCCAGGCTTCAAGAGAGTTGCAGCAGGTTATCTGTGTTAATGGTCCTCCCACGCGTGCGCATGTTCTTACAGTCTGTTCTGGTTCCCGAGGCAGCTCACACACTTGAGGCTTGAAGGGTTTTCTCGGTTGAGACTTGTTTGTGTTTGTTGCCCACGTGACGCGTTGTGGCCGAAGGTTCCACAGCTACAAACAGTTCGCCTCGCGGCCTCAGCCACAAGACGAGGGCCTCAGGCAAGCCGGGCAAGCCAAGGGCGCGCCAAGCTTGAAAGGAATGTTGGGGTTCTCTATTCGGCTTCATCTGCTCACAACATGGTTCATGCCATGCTGTTTGCGCAGCTCATGTAGCTGAGTGAGATAGGTGTGGGGGCCGGCGCAGCAAACGCAGCTCGTGCAGTCAGTGTGGCATTTGGTGTCGGTGTCGCATTTGTTGCTGGTGATGAACTGCGCCCTACCCCTACGTGCTGTCTTTTGTCCCAGCCAAGGAAAACGGCCAACCCAAAGCGCAAGCGGCGCCTGTTAAATGTTCCAGCTAAAGCCAAGAATTCATGTGCTCGCAGGGTTTATAATCATAGCTTGTTGCTTAGGCCCTTCCAGAGCAAAAGCTCTCACCCTGGTAGACCTGATGCTTCGTTCTTACGAGTGTTTCCTAAAAGACGAACTCAGACGGTGTTTATCCAACAGGGCAGGGCGCCTTCAAATCATGACAGCCAGCCAGCGCCAGCGATCAGCCTGCTATGCGTTGAGACATACCTCCACTCGTTGCGACTTTTGGCTGCCATGATTGCCATCAACATCAGCGGGTGGCTGTAGCCGTTCTCCATCAACCTTGCTTCAGTTAGTGTTGCGAGCGCGTGCGGACCAGCGGCCAGGCCACGTGGCAAGAATGCCCAAGACATGGAGGCAGGACCTGCAAGGGATCAGGAAGCGAATATGGGGGCGGCGTTATCTTGATTAGATGTATGGATTTCTGCACACGCTTCTGGAGAATGTTTGCAACACACACCTCGCTCCTGATGGGTTTTTGAAAGAGACAAGGCTCAAGGCGCCTTGCTCAATTGCACCTGCGTTGGCTTTGAACTCAGCCCGCCTCATCAGTAGGACTTGGTGCACGTTCGGCTTTTTATGAGCAACGTGTGTTCTTGTGGCCATTACGATGGGCCAGCTTTGGGCGTCTTCTAGCTGTGCTTCGGCAATGTGTCAACTGAAGCCCTCTCTAACTTGTTTCATGTTGGCTTTTTGATGACACCCTCAAAAAGCGTCCCTCGTTTGACACACCCCTTTATTGCCGGACCTCTGACGGTCAGGCGCAGAAGCGGCGCTTCCAGTCGCTGGGCGCGCAGGTCTTCTTTGATAAGCAAGATGTCAATAGGATGCAGCGCAGTGAACAAGGCATGCCGCCATTCTGAGAGTTTGGGCTCGCAAGAATAGGGCCATGGTTTCCCCCACAGACTCACGCACAATGGTCATGTTGTCAGACTGTATTTTTTTGAGAAGCAGCGGCGCGTGACAGACCGTCTAGGCAGAAAGGTGAAAGTTCATAATTTGAGTTGGATTATGCCGCGTGAGAAGACATTGAAGTTGGGCCTTAACATTCTAGCGTGCGGAGTCGACATCCTCCTCAGGATGCCCGAGGGGCCAGGATTGGGGGCCGACCCCTAACAAGAAAACAAAGCAACCGCAACAACAACAACAACAGCAACAGAACCGGAAAAAACTATCTGTGTTCCAATACAGTCCACGCACACGTGTAGCCCCAGACTGTGGCACCGTGCGCGCCGCCAGATGCAGACAGCACGGTGGACGAAAGCAATCCGGCGCCCCAAGAACAGCGCAGCGCCCGAGACAACAAAACAGACCAGACCCAAACTGCCAGGAGACGGCCGTGGCGCACGCACGCGCGCGCACACATGCGCCCGCGCACACGCGCGGGTGCGCGCACGCGCGCGCGTCCACGCAACCACACAAAAACACACACGCGCACACAAAGTCCGACGCGCGCGCGCGTGCGTGCCAACCACAGAGCCACACAGACTAGCAAATCGCATTCACAAAGAGCAACTGATTCAGACAATGCGCGCAAGGCGCCGAACGCACACGCAAAGTACGCCGCCCTGAAGCAGTTTTGACAAGTCAGGTTTACCCATTGGCCCACCTCAGGGGTGGCGGGATGGCGCACTGTCACCCGCCCTCACTTTTAGATCTGACATGGAGACAAGGCGCTAAAACGAAGTCAGGTGTTCAATTAGGAGGGCTTAGATCAGTATGGCTGCACGAAAACCAGGTACCCCTTAATTTCCCCGCATTACGGTGCAGTCGTTTGGTTTTGGCAGGGCCGAGAAAAAGATAGATGTTTCGAGAAAAAGCGATGTGGTTTTGAGAAAACATCCTGATAAACACCTAGTTTAAAGGACATGTGTTTCAACATGACGCAAGACCTTGTTCGACTGACTGGTAATATATCATCTGGTCACGTGTCAAAATATATATCATCCGCCGACATTGGCCTTGGCACAGGGCAATCACAGCTACAGCAAGGCGTGCGTGTCATGTCATTCAACACATGTTCCTACCTTTCTGCTCGGCTACAAGTGAAGGAGGAGGAACCTCATGCGTTGATTGCTCGTTGTTTGGCACCGCCAGCAAACCCCGTCACAGGCTCAAGCTCAGCCTGAGCTTCTTGAAAAGCGGACGGCAAGGACACACCTGCAACCTGCGCCCCCTCATCATTCTTCGCCCGGGTCTGCTTCAATGTTCTTTTCTTTGGCTTCGTAAGGATGATGAGGCAGGGCGAACATACAAGGAATTGCAGAATCGAAGCGAGCGCGGGTTGGCTTTCCCATGGCAAGGCAAGAAGATGGAGTCTTGAAATATCCGATTGGCATATGACAATTTGACAATTTTGACAGTTGTGACAGGTCTAGACCAAGACTGGCTTGGGAGCCTTGGAAGCCAAAAGCTCCTCGCCGGCCCACTGCTAAGTTCCATTCGATCTAGATGACAAGAGTGACACATGACACATGAGACTGGTCAGCTCAAGCCGCAGAGAACCGTTTTGACTTGACATGACGTGCTGGGGGGTCATCTTCTAGAGAGAGCTAGAGTAGTCCTTGGCCGGCAGCGCTGCTTCAACGATTGGCCTCAGCTGTTCCAACACATCAGCAGGAACAGCGCCAGGAGCTTGCTCGCTTGGAAGTTGCAACGGGCAGCAGTTGCGTGCTAAATCCTAAAGCCCGCAATAGCGCGCCCCTCTTCCTTCTCTCCAGACCCTAAACACTCTCTTCTATCTACATTTAAACCTTAATGTCCAAACGGTCACTGCTGCCACATGTGTTCGAGGATCCTTGTCAAAGCCTCTTCCCAAGGGCTGCGGGGAAAATATTGCTGAACCATTTTTCTCAACAGGTTCGATAAATCGGGGATCAGACATTAGCGTTTCTACTTTGAAACTCCAGCCATCGCATGAGAAAGAGGGCCAAAGACGGAGAAAGGACCTGAACTGAATCATGACCAGAAGGTTCCTGCGGTTGCTCCTCCTCCTCCTCCAGCAGCAGGCCCGTGAATAATCTCATCTCGGAAGGCTCGCCAGTTGCTGAACCCTTGTGGGGGATCGAAAACACGTAGAGGTTTCCCCGATTCAGTGGCGATCTGCTTCTCGGCCTTTCTCTTGCCACGCTTACCAGATTGACCAGTGCAAGCCTTTTTCTTTGCCTTGTTCGCTTCTTCTTTGACTCCTCCACAGCGGGGCTCAGGAAAGAACTGAGACACAAGACATCATTCTTCTTGGTATTGTTGTTTCTGTTAGTATTTTTACAAACCATTGAATTCTACAAGAGCCGCGCAAGAATGATGTGAATTAGACTGTAAGTTAGACTCTAGGCTTTGCTTCAACATATTACAACAACTTCAAGATCAAAGGAAGTCCGCTGAGTCAAGAAGGCGTTGGCTCTCCGTTTGGCAAAATTGGCCGGTTCACGGGCGACTCCTCCAAGAACTTGATGACCAACCTCCGGATGCCACAGGCGCTTGTTGCTGCCCAAAGCCGTTTTTTGTTTTGGTTTAAGTCCCTGAAGTCACTGCGCTCATTGAGGTCTTCGTTGTTGAGCAGGCAAGTTGTCAGATCAGCGTGCTCTTTCTGGAAGTGTTTCTTAGACTTGCAGGCCGGCAGTTCTGACAAAACTGCCTCCACATAGCCAGGCTCAAGCTCCCCAAGCTCTTCCGCCAGGCTCCGCAGCACAGTGCGTGTTTCCCTTCTCAATGAGACCGTGCCTAGCAACTGGACGCAAGGCAACGCCAAGATCTGGGTGCCAGCAGCTCACACGGAATCACTGAGTACAAGTGTGGAGCCTCCTGACCCCCAGCGCATCGCAAGGGCGAAACCAATTGACGCATGACACGCCTCAATTGAAACATCCCGTAGCCACAGCTTTTGCTGCTTGTGTTCCCGAGGCCACGCCCACGCAGCGCTCGATCGCGACAGGCTTGATGGAGTAATTGCCGGCCACTGTTTCCCAGGATTCATGGTTCTGCTGAGATACAGAGGAAGGCGATGTGTTTTGCACCTCATCGTTGTGGTATCATGAAATCGCGTAGCTTTGACATGCTTGTACTTAAGGAAAAACAGGCTTTTGAAACAGAGCCGCCTTCAATGATTTCGCTCAAGTTCACAACTTGCTGCGCAGAGCTCTGTATCATCTCCTCATGGCGCTGACCTCCAAACCTCTCCGCCTGTGAAAGTCTTCCATTGTCTTCGTGTTTGGGAGATTGTCAAGCTGTGAGCCGTGACAGGGCAGTGTCGTCTGGGTAAAAGTTGATTGTTGCCAAAGCGGCTCTCGTGGTGTCACTGACAGTGAGGTGTAGGTCTTCTGAACGCTCTCATCCTCAGAAAAGGCAGTTGCGAGCAGAAGGGGGGTCTGCAATGTTTTGCCAAGGTTGATGACGGGTCTGCCATGAGCTTCGCAACAGAGGTCCACACAGAGTGTTCATCTTCTGCCCATGACATGAGCTTCTTAAAGATCTTGCCGCTGGCGCTACAAAAGGATGCAAGTTCTTGGAGATGTTGAGACTGTTGCCAAGAGGTCACTTTCCTCATGTTGTGCTGCGAGCAGTCCATGGCGCTTTTGACTTGAGTGCACAGAGTGGAAGAGTTCAAAAGGGGCCGTTTGCTCTTCACAGTGCCCTTTGTTGGTCCAGGACTTCACTCGGCGAGGGCTTGCCACACAGCTTGAAGATCCTCTGCGCATTAAAAGGCATTCCCATGTCACCTGCCACACGGCCAAGCATGGACATGACCGTGCTGGGGTCCTTGCTGGCGCGCGGCAAACTTGCACTTTTCTGGGAAGTAGAAACCAGGCGCAAGCCTGCTATGTCACACTAGTGCCATGCCATTATTTTGCGACAGTGGGTTGGCCTAAATAAAAGTTTGACTCGGCCTGTTGGCTCGACTGCCAACGCGGAGAAGGCGTCCACTTTTTTTGAAACCATGCCCCCAAATCTTACAGCTTGTAGTTAATGGCCTAGAATGCCTGAGCGGCAATGGTCAGGAACAATGTCACTGGTGTGAAGGGAGTCAGTGCAGTATTGTTTTTCAAACCTGCAAAGACTCCGGCCTTCCAATTTCAAAGCCAGTTGAGTTGGAGGGAGACCCCTTTGGATTGAACAGCCAGACAGCTGCGTCGCCAACTGGCAAGCAGACAGGGCCCGCCGAGGCGTAGCAAGAACGAGGTGATATCGTTCACTTCTGACCGAATTGGGACAACAACCGCAAGGGTTGGGGCCTCTGAAATTAATTGAGTGCTGCACTATTTGAGTGCTGCACTATGTGGCTGATGATGTCATTTGCCAGGCAATGGTAGAAATCCCAATCAAAGTCATTTGTCATGTGGCAAGACGTAAAAAAGAAAACAGCTGCAGTGTCAGTCGGCGCCTGGTCCATCAAACGTGTCAAACGGGGCAATTTTTTCGACCGCCTTCCACACTTCAACTGTCTCTATCACTTGCCCACGCCGAATGAACGAAACCTCTCGACCGGCCAGGCGAACGAAAAGAGCCCAGAGACAAGGCCAAGTTTGCGAACAGAGAGAGAAATAGCCTGCGTGAACTCGTAGCTGGAAAGCCGTTCTCACGCCGGGCTAAGATTCATTCCATCTCTTGGCGCACATCCAGATCCAGGTCATCAGGCGCCACCACCTTTTCAAGCCTGAACAGCAAGGCGCACCCGCAAGAGACTGCTCACAGTGGAAAACAACGGACGCCAGGTTCTCCTCTGTTGAATGCACTGATCCATCTGTGCAACTTGACAAGTGCCAGCTGGGCCCGTTTCGAAGGCGTTTAGCTTGCAGAGCCGGTTGCTACGAACGGCTGAGTACTTGCGAAGGGACATGTTGGCATGTTGCGCAGCATTGACCACATCCAAAGCTCTGCTCACAGGCCCCCTGGCTGTCCTGCCTTGGGGGGCTCCAGGCAGATTCAACCAGACAGGCCACAGAAAATCTCCCCCTCACACTGGCCCTTCAACATAGTTTAGTTTTAAACGAGACCACCCACGCCTCGAGGTCTGAAAATTCTGCTACATTCCGGAGAGCCAGCATCTCCAACATTTGCGATAAAAGTTGCATCGCGCGTCCCAGTGAAGAGTTCAACAGCTGGAGGGGTTTCCTTTGCCATTGAGGCTTGTTTTGTTGTCTCCGCACTTTCGCAACTGCCAAAACACACCTCACAACATCTCGCAGCGGTAGCTCTCGCGACGACCATGGATAACCGCAACTGGGCATTGAGTCCCATTGGCGTGTGACGCAAGCGGAGATTGCTTGTCACACCAGCCGAGGATGAAGTCCACAACTTTGAGCCCATGCTTATACAGGGTAACCATCCGCGATTTGTTGCTGAAGCTGGCAAGAAAGTATAAGAGCAGCCGCCGTTTAGCGCAGTTGCTGACAAACTGACAATTGATACCCCTGACTGCTGCAGGGCGACGCAAGCAGGGGCAACTTGGCAGGCGAGCAATTGGCAATGTGGACACATAGCGGAGACACACACGGGCAACGCAATGCGTTGCCGCACTGCCCACGCCATCTCCAGCAACCTTGTCGCAGTTTAGCGCAATTGACACGAGCAACTGAGTAAGTGGCGCAACAAGTCAAGGGACTGGGAAAAATGCCATGTAGCGCGCACAGTTTAGTTCCGGCTGGCAGTGAGCGTGCGAAACGAACAATCCATGACTAATGCTTGGGATCATGCCAGAACGCTGGACATCACAAGCAAGAAGCATTGCGGTGGGATGTAGATGGCATGATTCTATGGGAATTTTTCATATAGTAGCTAGTCGACGTGTACAATATGCACCCGGCGCTGCGACTGCGAATGGAGTTGCAGGCCCTTGTCCACGGACAGGCGACGACACGGTTCCACTTTCAAAGTAATATGAAAAGTTGCCGCACGCCTTGAGCCTGATGAAGCCTAAAAAATTGAAACGCGTGACTGTTGATTTGGAAACACTTCGAAAACCCCACAAACCCACAAACACGCCAGGGCCACATCACACCCAGCGCGGACCTTGCAGGCTATTGCCCTCAGGCACTCGACCAACAGCCGCCAATGTCAACAAACGATATCCGTCATGTCGTGCGCAATGTTCTCATTAATGCACAGACATGGCTGACGCTCAGTGTCTGGGCGTCCGGCCAGTAAGTTCAGGCGCCGCAAGAAGATGCCAAAGCCCGGCCCAAAAAACAAATGACCAGCGACAGCAAACTGAACTGAACCTTGCGACATAAGTTTAGCAAATCTTAGGGAGGACCTTGCGTTGGTTCCTCAGAACAATGGTAGCTGCCCAACCGCTGACAACGAACCATGAGCGCGCGTCAGCATGCACTCACCCGTGGTTCAAAGGCAACTCAAAACTTGATGCAAGACACTGCCCCTTCCCTGATGCCCGCGCCAACTTCTAGGGATCAGCATCTTTAAAAACCAAAGCAACCATCAAACACTTACCTCCATCGGTCAGTCGCACGACACTTGGCTATAAACTCACGTGTCACATGGCGCATGGCAAGTTGCTTGACGATAGAAATATCCAAGGGTGCAACCTCATTGGTTGTAGTCAACTTATTAAATTTCAAATGTGGCTGCAACCAAATTAAACAGCTGTACGCAAAGTGTGGCCAAGGAGCCAAAAAAAGCGCAACCAGCTGGAATATGCCAAGAACACATTCAGGGAAACTTTTTGTCACGCGCGTGCGCCAATAAAATTCAAACCTATTTCCACACCAAAAGTAGAAACTGTCAACATGTTGGTGCTACATGCTACTTTCCAAAAGTGTCGAGAAATCTAGCTTGTCCTTAAAAATACACCGATCTAGACACCGCTGCTGCAAGACCGCGATGCCAGTTCGTGAGCCAGACTGGAACGCCTGAGGCGCAACCCCAACATCTTCAGCGTGAGGCTGGCCACAGACTCGGAGAAGGAGGCAAGGAGGGCAGGAATCCTCGTGTGATGTTGCCACTCTGGTTGTGATGTGGCAATGTTACTCGCATGCATGCTTTGGTCTTGTTGCTGGTGGGACTTTGCCATATCCAGGCGCGCAGCTTAAGGGGCCTAATGGCTGCGTGTCTCCTTTTACCACCCACCCAAGTCGGTCATGTCTTTTGATGCTGCCAGTCTAGATTCGACAGGCTCAAGCAGTTTTCTTGCCAGTGATTGTTGTTCAGAGAAAGTTGTCGTACTGGTGCAAATTGGGGTAATGTGAGTGGCAGGCGAGTCAACCAAGCTGTGAGCTCGCCAAGATGCTAAGTGCTGGGATGCTTTTTGTCACCCATCACGCACAATGAGCTGGCCTTTTTCAAGGCCAGAGTCGCCTTTGCCAGAGCTCAGCTTTGAGAAGTGCTGCGGCGTTCGCTCGTCTTCCCCCCCCCCCCCCCGGCAGGGCTTAAAAAGTGTGGTTCGGAAGCGCAGAAGCAAGCGTAAACGCGCATAGCTCAAGCGTGTTCAAGCGTAGCTTCTGCAAGTTCTGATGGGCAAGCTTGCCATAATTCTTTACAATCCTCCTGTCAATTACTCTTGCGCGCAATGCTGTAAACTAATGCTGCTGCGCGTGATGTTGCGCCTGATTGCGCGCGTGGCGTTGAGCGTGATGTTGCTCGCGCCCCTCTCGCGCATGAAGCTCTGCAACCTCTCTGTCTCAGCCTTTCATGTCCATATCTGCAGGCGTCTTGGCTGCAAGGAGGCTGGCGGTTTTAGTTGCAGAAGTCTTCGCACACCGGGGCCGCCAAAGCGACAGTTTGGGAAAACGGCGAATGTTTGCTGCTGGGTGCGCTTTTGGTTACGTGCCAGCAATTGGCAGCAGTTTTAGTTACGTGCCAGCAATTTGTCAATATCAAGTCTTTTGCAAAACGGGGCAGCAGGAAATCGGCGAATTCGGCAGGAAACCGGCGGAGTTTGACAGGAGCAGGCTTCAGCGTGTCGGAGTATTTTCTGCGTTTGGGCGTTTTTCTCGCGGGCGGCTTCTTTCAAATTGTCGGCGGACGTTTCTGCCGTGGGTCCTTTCGGCAGAACGTTCTGCCGCCGGAGGGTCCAGGTATTGCTTTTGCAGTTATATACAAGGTGCGATTTTCGATCTGGAGAAGTTAAAGCGTAATTCGCGTGCTGCTTTTCCGTTTTTAAGTTGCGGTTTTTGAGCTGGAGCTGGAGGTGCGAGAGTGCGCTTTCCGAGGGCTAGAGAGAGCACTTCGCGCGCTACCTACCGTAGACACCTACGGTTTTGCAGCCGGAGCTGCAGCATTGCGGTACAACTTGATTGAAGTTAAAAGTGGCGTTTCTCGAGCCGGCGCCGTGGGAATGCGTTTCCTGTATTTCTTTTGTACTGAAAAGTTGCGATTTTGCAGCCGGAGCTGCGGGAATGTTGTCGCGTACCTTTTTTGCACGAGCAGCTTACTAAAGGCAGTCGGAGCAGAGGGAGCGCAATTCGCGCGACCTTGTGTATGGAAGCTGGCAGGCTTGGCAGCTGGCGAAGTCCTGCAACCGCTCAGCCTCCGAGGCGAGAGTTCTTTACTTCAAGTCGAAAGCGCATGGTTGGCACACACGTCATGGGAAGAGTCCTGCGTCGGGCGCCATGCCTTGAGATGCCAGCATGTCGCCACGCTAGTCATTGCCCGCCTAAAGAGGCGCAGCGTGCATCAGCGCAACATGCCCCCCACTGACATCAACCGCAAGAGGGGGGTCCGAAGATAACTTCTACGTGCCCCGGCGTCAAAACACAATTCCCCTTCCCCCCCATAATCACTGTTTGTCACGCGCTTTGTTTTGGTTCGAGATGCATTCCTTGCGCTTTGAAGCGTGACGCAGCAGGCAGACGGAATGGGTGCGGAATGATTGCGTCCTGTGGCTGGCGTTTTGCGGCATAAAGATGTTTGCCAACCCAACCTTCATCAACTTGAATTGCGTTGGCAGTTCAGATTAGCTTTGCCTAGTTTCACACCATGACCATCTCCCCAAGCGCTACTCAAGCGCCGAAAAATTGGTGCTAGCATGTTCTTGAAATCATGACCTGGTTATTTGTGAGGCGCCTTGTTGACGCGCCCGCCAGCGTCCAACGCGCAGTCTACAGGTCAATTATAACCCCCGTACTTTGTTTGGAACTGCCAGGGCACGCTGCTGCGCTACGCCCAAAACCGAGTGGAGGACATGACCCGCGCTGCTGGGCAGCCCAGACTTCGGATTGCGGCCGCAGTGTGGTGGCCTAGATTTGAAGACCAAAGGAGGGGCCTGAAGTCCTATGAACAAATATATATATATATATGTGTGTGTGTGTGCAAGCGCAAGTTTGAGCAGCGGTGGGGAGGCTTGCAGTCCATCACGCTCTCTATGCTGCCGATGAGTATATGAAACAAGTTTCCTAGCTTTAGACGAAGCCGTTTCAAGACAAAGAAAGTGCGGTCGCTCCTTGCGAAAAAACAAGGTTTCGGGGTCGGCCCAAGATTTCAGAACCTCGAACATCAAGGTCTCGAGACTTCTTGGAAATTCTCAACAAATCTTGGATCTAAGACCCAGGCTTCCACAATCAGCCACTGTTTCGCCGACGCCGGCCCTGCTGGGAGTTTGGCGAGCACTCTCCATGAAGGGCGCGCTCGGCGAGCTTTGTGCCCACCCCCGTGCCGCCCCCCTGTGGAAGAGGCTCCATCAAAGAGTGGCGCGTTCCATCTCCATTCGGCGCACGGTGCTGTTGCTCAGAGCGCGGAAACTATTTGCCGTGGCCATTGCCCGTTTTCACAGCCAACAGGTTGCAGCGCTGCGTTTTCTCGCCTTTTTCATGTTCTTCACGGCCACTTGGCGTTTTTCACGACTCTTTCACGCTTTTTCACGGCCACTTAGCCTTGTCGGATTCTCACGACAAAATCGTTTTTCCGTTCGTCCCCGACCACCAAAACGCACAGCTTCCTGGGCCTATCTGTGGCCATTTGGAGATCAAGCAACCGGGCAAAGCTCACGGAGCCACTGTACCGCAACTTCGTTGGATTGTCTTTTATCCGAGAAGCAGGTTTTCAAGCAGCTCCATTTTGAGGCTGCCAGCTCTTTTTGGAAATTGTAAGCAGGAGCTGCGAGAACCTTCGCTTTGGAGATGCTAAACTTTTCATCCTTCCCTCTTCAAGAAAACGCAGGCCCCTGCCACACTGCAGCAATAAGACTCAGCAACTCAGCAAAGAGAGGCGGCAGGCTGTCTGGAAGCACCCACAAACCCAGGCCTCTGATGGCGCCATCAGCGCACCAGCTCCTAAAATGGCCAAACGCAAAGCAGATGAACAAATGCCCAGGTGGGCAAAGCAGTTGTTGGGAGTGCTGAACCTTCACCTGAGCAAGGTGGAGCCCTGGCAAAGGCAACAATGCCAGTGAGCTTTCCAGCTGCCATCATTCCTGTGGATGGCAACGCGGCAGAAGACTCCTTTGAAGGCGCCAGAACTGTCGCGTGAAGCAAAAACGAATCACGTGGACTCCTTCACTCACAGCTCCCTCACTCACAGCTAATCCTTTGCGCGCATCAGTGTGAGCAGCGCACCACTCACCGAATCCACCCAGACGATGAGCCTCCAAAGTAAAGGTGTCCTGACGAAGCCTTCTGCCAGCAGCCTGTGAAGAAGCAGGCTGTGCTACTATTTCCGTTGAGGTTTCCTGGGGCAGCGTGCCATTCCACACGGGCATTGTTTTTGCTGATTCTAGCAATTGTGTGTCTGGCTTTCGAATTTTATCGTGGTTTGCTAGTTGTCTAGAAGAAAGGGTTTTACAAGTGCAATCACCACTACTAGCATTGCTGACAATTTTAGCACTTGTTCAGTGCCGGGTCCTTCCAGACATGCCGCAGACGCGCATGTCTCCCCGCATCCCTGCCCTTAGACTGCTAGAGCGTTCGAATCCGGTTGGTGTTTTCGGGGCAAAATGCGAAATGCTTGGGCTGGTACGAGGTAACTTACGTAAATCGCATGCAAGCAGCTTCATTCGCAGCAGGAACAGGAAAAAACATGGCTATTATTAGGACTACTACTTCCGGCAATGTTTCATTGCGCAATGCGCCATTTTTGCATATTGCCCGTTCCATTAGATTTGGCAAGTGCACAAAGCATGAGCGTGCCTCGTGCTCGCAGAGCTAATTTGGTTCAACTCAAACGCGTGTTGGACTTCTACCTAGCGGCCAAGTGATCAGTTGAAAGAAGCACAATCCAATGCTGCGCGTGTCTTTCTTATGAATCCTCTCTGAACCTGCAGCCTTTTGGCGCAAGTAAAAATATCTTATGTTACAACCTGACACCGTAGGGAACGCATGTAATTGCAGCGACAAAACAGAGGCACCGCAAGCAGAATCATCGTCATCAAGCATCAGTGTGTTTCTTTCCACGCCACATGTTCATGCACCCAAGATGCAAAACATTTTGCCAAGGTAGAATCATGGGCCTTTTGTTTATCACCCTAAGCGCGCTTTTCACTTCATAGGTGGACAATGAAACAAGTGCAATGCCAGCAGGCGCCAGCACAATCAGCATGTAGCTCATGCTGCTACCTTGAGTGTGTGCCATCTCCTGGGCCAAAAAGCAGTAGAGGCAAAGTACTAGCTCAAGATGGGCTGCCCAACGCCCAACCTGAATGGGTGATAAAGTGTTGTCCCAAACCCCCTTTTGCCAACCAAGCCGGTTTGGAAGTCATCAGTTTCCGTTACCTTGTAACGGTGCATTTTCACGAGCGGGCCGCGTGAGTGTGAACATTATCACACAGTTTGCACTTAGAAGTCAGCAAGCTAGAGTGTGACATGGCATGTTTCTCCCGGTCGTCAGTGCGAAGTCTGCGAATCAACTTTTCCCCTGGTTTCCAAGACGCGTTCCTCAATCGTTTGTTTTCGCTGCTTCTTTTCCAACATTCTTTGTGACACTGTGGTTCTTCAATGGCTCGTCAATAGTTTCTCGGAAGTGAGGTGGTTCGTCAACATTGCTGAACTTTTCCAGAAAATTGACGAACATTGCCGAACTGGGTGAAACATATACGAACCGTTGACGAACTATTGACGAATCCCTGGCTAACTTCTCCAAAATACTTGTTGACGCTGCTATCCGCTAATGGTTTGGCAATAGTCTCTCGGTAGTCATGTAGTTTGTCAATATTGAACAAACTTCTCCAGCAAAATTGGCAAGAATTGCCCAACGACGTGAAAAAAGCAAGACGAACCATTAACGAACCGTTGACAAACTATTATAACGAATTCTTGGAGAACCACAGCGTCAGAGTAGCATCGCAAGAATCCCGACAAAGTTGCCGACAAATTTCAGGGCCCCACTAGTGCCACAAGATGATTGGACAAACTTTGGGCAGGTGTCTCCTGAAAACCTGAACGGATAAATTATCAGTTGACTGTTTGGCTCAGCGCAGAGTAAAACAGATCCATGTCAACACAACCTTCAATTTGCCCAAGCCTGATTCAGGTTTGCTTGGCTAGCTAGAGGGCACTGCCTGCGTACCGCGCTACCCACACGCATGCGTTGTCCTATGCAGTTACTGCTGCTTATTTGGAAAGGTTGAGTTTTTAATTTGGCTGGCAAATTTGCAGAAAGGCCAATGCACATGTTTGCTTCTTACAAGTCATCACCCAATTTTACTAATGGCTTAACTTTGGCCATCACAGTGATGAATAGAAACAGCTGGCAGCAAACTTGCGGGCAGCTATTTAAGCAGTGATTGCTTAAATTTTCGACACGCCACTGAAATCATTACGCTATCTCTGTAATGCTTGAAAGGGAGTGGCTGCTCAATGATGCAATGCTGTGCCGTACATTGGTTTGCACAAGCCCAGTGGCATGACTGTAAGCCTTTTTCCTCTGTACTAAGAATACGGAAAGACCTTTGCCGTCCCTTTGACATTCCGAAAACGCATTCGCCGTTACAACATCTGCAAAGCGCGAAACAAGGAACATACAACCAGAGCGAATAGGACACGTTTGCTGCCCCTTTCACCTTCCGAACATGCGTTCGCCGTTATAACATCCGCAAAGCGCAAAACAAGGAACATACGGCCAGAGCAAGTGCGAAATGTTTACTGTGGAGGTGCTGAGGTTGGTCCCAACAAGCAAAGCTCAGCGCAGAAACATCTCTGACATAGCGGTAAATAAGGACGATGTCTACGAGAAGGGGTCTGCCTCAGTATTTTCAGCAAACGCGGTGAGTTTCCTTGATGCCTGGCACCAAACGCTTGCAACACATGAAGCTGCTAGGTTAGGCCAGAATCGGAGCTGAGAACCCGAGTTCAGCTGAGGTTTCGAGAGCCGAGAGTCTGAGTCCAACAAACCGAGAGCAGCCGAGAAACCGAGAAGCCCAACTTGGATGCCCGGCGGCTTGCGTAAGGGAATTGGCAGACTTAGCTAACTCTGCTTGCGTACGTTGTAACTTCGGCGAACTTACTGCGTTGGCCCAGGCGTACTTAGCAAGTGCGTCAAGTGTGGCGAGTGCGAAAAAACAGCGCGCTAAGTGCTCCCGGCGAACGAAGCAAGGCGCACGTGCCAAGCCCGCCATCTAAGATAGCAAGCTTGCGCTACGTTCGCCAAACGCACTTAGCTAAGTGCGCCTGGCAAGGACTCCCTGAACGCCCAAGATTCGCACCCAAGAATTGAAGGCTCTTATATAGGCCGAATGGAAAACAACAGTTTTAAGTGGAAAAAGGCTACCCTTATAGTATGGGTTGTGTGCAGCGTGTCCTTGTTGTGTATGTTTTGGCGCGCGCCTTGTGGCAATGCTACTGGTGTCGGCAATGCAGAGCATTTCTCTAAGTATTCCTCCCATCCTGGTAGCTTCGTTTTAACTTGTATTTGGTAGGCATTCTCCAATCATCCCTCGCCGCAGGTGGGCCAGCGACGTTCACATCGGAAACCACCAAGTCTGCTTTCTACTTAGCACCACCGCCGAACATCTAAGGAGAACCTGAGAATCCGAGAACCTGAGTCCGACAGGCCAAGAAATCGAGGGTCCCAGAATCCGAGAACCCGAAAAACCGAGAAACCGAATTAAGCTGAGAACCCGGGTATAACTGAGAACCTGAGAATCATACCAAGAATCCAAGAATCTGAGTCCGATAAACCGAGAAGCCGAGAAGCTGAGAAGCCCCAAAACCCGAGAACCATAAGTCCGAGAAGCCGAGAACCTGAATCCACCGAGAGTAGACCCAC